TCTTCATTTTCCTTTTGGTTTTTTTCTCTTTTTCTTTTAAAAAAAGACTCAGTTGTTCTTTTTTTTTTTCCCAATACAATTCATTCTAATAAAAAGTAAAGTGAAAAATAAAAAACTAACATATTAAAAAAAATAAAATACTTTATTTAAAAAAATAAAATACTTTATTTAAAAAAATATTTCAAATATAAAATTAAATTAATATAATAAATAAATAAATTATCATAATTTTAAATGTTACAATTTTAATTCACTAATCATATATAAATATTTAAAAACATTATATAACTACGTAAAAAAAACTTTCAATCTCAGTTTTAAATATACGCTTAGACTAAAAAACGCGTCGGTGTGGACAATTCCAACTGACGAGGCTATCCTTGCCGTTGAATTGAGGTATTCAGTTTTAGTCCTTATTACGTGGATCAGAGGGTCACGGAAGACATCTTCACTCTGTCACATCACTACCACTCTTTATGCATGAAAAGTGACAAATAGCTTTCGGTTTAAATTGATTTTTTTTAAAAATAGGCAATGGATTGGCTTGACTTGGTTAAAAATTAAAAAATGTAACTATGTGTACGATTTCATTTGACGAGCCTATCCTTACCGTTCATATTAAGTTTTTTCTCATGATCTCTACCACGTGGATCATTGTATCCTGGGTATTAGACATTTTTATACCGTGACAAATTACCTCGTATCTCCATAATTGGGGAAATGACAAATACGATCCGTGAAACTTAAAATCCGCAATTTATATAAAAAGGTAATTTTCACTTTATTAAAAAGCAGACGACGACCTGTTTTCAATGATTGACGATCCGAGGTTGACGGGACAGTCAGGATGGGAGCTAGTGTCGGAGAGTGGGGTAGCCAGCCCCCTAAACTTTTGAAAAATATCAAATGTGATACATTAATTTTGTTTTCTGTAAAATTTTATTTTTAAAATTTAAATTATAGGGACAATTTCAAATATAAAGAAGGCATTTAGGAACCAAGTAAATGCATTATGTCTCTCTTTGTGACTAATTCTTAAGACATGATAATTTTATTAAGTGAGAAGAATATTAAAAAATAGTCAAGATTTAATTATATTGATATAATT